GCCGGGGCGGGGGCGGCCGCGGCTGAGGTCCCACCTGCAGCTCGCCCCGCCCCATGGCAGCATAGAACGCCAGGGCCGACACGTAGTTCATGGCCGCCGCCGCCGCCTCGGCGTGCTCCCTGGTCTGGAACCCCACTTCACGCCAGGTCGCCGGGGGAGGCGACTTTCCATAGACGGCCGACTGACCGCCGGTGGCCGTGTCCAGGTGGCCCATGGGCTGCGAAAGAAGAAGGGCGTCACCAAAGCGGCGCGCGCCCGCAATGCACGACAGAAGCGCGAGCAGCGCGAACGTGCGGCAAGGGTAGCCACTTCTGCAGGGGCAGCCCTTTCAGCTGGTTCCAGGTGGGTCGTGCCCCCCTTCTCCTCTGCTGGGCCTGCTGAGCGCTCGGACGCCGGCTGGGTCACCGTGGACGGCGCAGGCGACACCGCCTTGGCCGGGGCGACGTCCACCGGTGGCCGAGCGGGCGCCTTCTTCACAGGCGGCGTCGCCGCGGCCTTCGCATCAGCATAGGCGGCTTCCGACGCCCCGACAGCCATCACCAAAGCCCGACGTTGGAGCCGGGTCCATCCTCCGAAGTGGATCGCCGGGTCGACTCCAGCGTCCAGAGCAGCCTGCAGCACGCCGACTGCCGCAGCAAGCTCAGCCGAGGACGGGGCCGAAGACATGGCGCCAGGAGGAGGCTAGGAGAAAAGCTGAAAGTCGGGATCGACGTGGAGCCGCAAGACGCTGCAAACTGACTGAATTTGAGACCGCACAGCCGAAACATTTCAGATCATGTCATCGCTTCCATGCTTTGTTGGCTACAGCACTGGAATGCACTGGAGTTACCAGTAAAGCGGCATCCCCACAAAACCGCTCCACCCCCAACCTGCGGAGTCGAAAACCGGAGCCCCCATCCTCACAGCATCCTTCGCCCATCTCCCCTCGACTGCAGAAAACTCAGGATAAAGCTTCCACCACAGCTCCACACTCCTCCCCTCCCGCTCCAACCGGACACAACCCACAGCCAGCCACCCTTCCTCTACACCGCGCGCGCTCACAGCAGAGCCTCCTGGCAAGACTCCCACGACACAGCCGGCAGGACCCACATCCGCATCCAGTGGTTTAACTGCACAGTCAGCGCATGAACGTAGTCGGAATGGGGTTCAGCTGGCACAGCTGCTGCTCGAAACAGACCTATGTCCTGCATGCGCAGAACTTCGATTTCTGGATTGGTGCATGGAGCTCCTTCGCACCGCCTGAATGTTGCAGGTTACGTCTGTCAGATGCCTGTCGCACTTGAAAGACAACTTTCCTGGCCGACGTTGAACTGATCTCTGGATTGTCAAACTACCCCATTGGTGGAACCTGCCGGTCGTCCGACTCCCAGTAAAGGATAGTAAGGGTGCAACTGCATCCAACGAGTGTGCGCAATGCCGGATGTTGTGCGCAACACGGGCTCGCACGTCATCGGCGTAGGCCCAACAAAAAACGAAATCTTTTCGAGATGCTCGTCCTCGCGGAAATAAAGCAATGAGGCAGTTGAAATTCCAGCATCGTCACTGCCCTTCGGCACGTGATGCTCATTTCTTAACCACGTTGTAAACACGAAATGATTCTTCTTTTCTTTAACTCAGTGCGTATGTTTGGATCTAATCACGCGTCAACGAACCCTTCCTGGGCCCTCAACCTTGTTCCCTGGGCAAGGAAGCCTGGACTAATTATGTAAAATCTTGTACTTGGTCTTTGTATCTTGAAAACCTTAACCTTCGAACCCGGTGTCCCGCCGCTATTAGGCGCACGGTCGATCTGTGAAGCAGTCGTGGCACGTCAAGCACATTGCAACAATTCGAGCATGTAACGGAAAAACTTGATTTAGCGAAAAACACGCACTTTGATTTTGTGTGCATGTTTAGAGAAAGTCGAGCAATGTGGACCATGGCTCTTTATCATGCGTCCATTTTTTCTCAGAACCGATTAGACCATGGAGGTCCGGATGCTGTTTTCTCAGAACGGATTAGACCATGGCACGTCATCATGGTTGGGCCATGGATGATCTCCTCTCTGAACGGATTAAACCATGGATGTTATCATGCTTGGGCCATGGATGCTCTGTTCTCAGAACGTATGCTCTCTTCTCAGGACAGATTAGACCATGGACGTCATCATGGTTGGGCCATGGATGTTCTCCCAATACGGATGAGGCCGGAGTGGACGTTATTACGGTTGGGGCATGGATGCTCCGACAGAACGGATGAGGTTGGAACAGACGCTCTTGCGGTTGGGGCATGGGTTCTCTCCCGGATGAGACCGGAATGGACGCCATTACGGTTGCAGCATCGATGCTCCGACAGAGCGGACGCGAGCTTTGATTGTGCGCGTACAGCCTGACCCGAGGGCTGAAAGTCCCATTTCTCTCCCAAACCCTAAACCTGAGCTGAACCCTACACCCTGAGCCTTGCGCTTTGGAATTTCTTGGTCTAAGCTTTTGGGCTTGAGAGTTTGTGGCTTTCGGGTTTGGTGCTGCGGGCTGCCGAGCTAGAGTTTATGCATGCGGTCATGGGACAATCCATCAGAAGCGAATCACTCGTGGAGAACTACGTTAACATCAACAACGACATGGCGGCTCAGAGTCGTGTAAGACATATCTGTACTGTCTCCAAAGCACATCAACATCCAGAAACTTACAAGTACCAGGGACTCGCGGTGCACTTGGGGAACTAACCTTTCCAAGATTTCCAAGAGCCTTCCGAAATGGTGCCCAGGTAAACTACCTCCAGCTCCTCGGAGATATCTCCCACGCCATCTCAACCCTCTGAATAGTTTCACAGATAATACGTAAAAAATGCACTGGTAGGGCTAGAGCTGGGGTTTAGGGGCGTTCAGGGTGCAGGGCAGGGAGAGATAACGACGCGACTCGCAAGAGATACGATGCGGCCGGGGGGATACCATGCTGCGCTGGCGGTTCCAAGGTTAGGAGAATGAGTGCTCGTGGTTGCGACAACACGTGCTGGCGGTCTGGAGACCAGGGCTTGAACTGAGGTGCTGGCGTGTAACCGGACTTCTTTGCGACTTCTTCCTCCTTTTGCCAACATGAGGCGGCGTCTGGCGTCTGGCTCTGATTTCGATATGAAGACGTCAGCCTTGGCCATCCTCACGGCCTCGGACCTCGGCCGGACCTCGGCTGCTCGGCGCCGCTTTGCAGTTCAAGCGTTCCCTGTGCTGTCCCCTCGAGATCGGCTCAGTGCTGGCGCCCTCGTCAGCCAGCTTGGAGCGAAGCTGCAGTATCTACAATGCAAGTGGACTTCTGGCTCCGGATATTTTCAGTTGGCAGATTCGCTTGTTGTGAATGTGGCTTTCCTTGCTGCTCTGATTGCCGAGCCAAAGCTAAGGCACAAACACGTAGCATGCTTGTGTCTTGGACCACTCCAGAAACTAAGAAGCAGAGGCAAGGAGCTTTGGGGCCTCGTGGCCTCGGCCGGGGCTTCCGAGGCCTGTCAACAGGAAGGCCGAATAAGACAAAAAATTCCCCGCGTCTCCGTTGCCTCTGAGAGCAGAGCTCAGCCTCGTCGGGTGCCTCGGAGAAGTCACGCGCTTGAAACTTTCGCTTTTCTGTTGCCCGCTCAATTCGCCGTCTACCAAGCAGCTGCAGAGATCCCTTGAACAACTGAAGAAGCACGCGGCTGGTTTCACTCAAGTTCGTGAGTCTGCGAACGGCGCTCTGGAACGGCCATGCAACAACATGCACAAAATCAAGCACAAGCTTAGGCTGATCACCGTTCTTCTCAGCTGGTCAAAGAAAATTTGTGATGCCCGGGCCTGGCAGGTTCATCCAGTCAGATGCGATCTCGTCCGACACATGCAGAACTGTGCAAGCAAGCTGTATCTTGGCGACCAGAAGCACCACGATCTGGGCTGAAGGTGCTACCACCAAGTTCTACCTAACACTAACACGGCTCTCATGTCGTGTGCACCAGTGCTGACATGGTTTTGCGTTGTTCAATCACAGGCTGAGTGTCGGCGTAGGTCGGAGCATCGAAGTTGTTTAAGTACTCCCACTGCTTGAAACAAAGCACCCTGGGGAATTTGCAAGCTCCACTCATCACAGCGGTTTGTGGGAAACTCTTGTGGGCGGTGTTCGTCTCCGGATATCTCGGCGCCCGTAAATTCGGGAGAAGTTGTTTTCAAGAACGAATCGAAGACAAGAAGGCACGCCGAAATGGCCACAGGCTGTGAAGTGCCACAACCGCAGCGACCTTCCCAAGCTGTGAATGAGTGACTGAGTGAATCAATGAGTGAGGGAGAGCGTGAGTGGAGTGAGTGAGCGAGGGAGCGAGGGAGCGACGGAATGAGGGAGTAAGTGAGGGAGTGAGCGAGTGAGTGAAGGGGTAAGTGAGTGAGTAAGTCAGTCAGTGAATGAGTCAGTGAGTGAGTCAGTGAGGGAGCGAGTGAGAGTGAGTGAGAGTGAGTGAGAGTGAGTGAGAGTGAGTGAGTGCTGGAACAAAGGTAGCCAAAGGTAGCCAAAGGTGAGGCCACAAGGGCAAAGACCAAAGGCGACGAGTGGGCCCTCATCAGGGTAGCCGTGGAGGCCGAAGACCATCGCGGAGGAGTGGAGCGAAACGACCGGCGAGCAACCGAAGAAAGCCATCGGGCGAGCCAAACTGTGAAGTGGTGAGGACGAGAAAAAGGCGGGCCCAAGAGGCAAAAGGGCGACGAAGACGCAGGCCGGGGAGGTTGTGAAGGACAGTGAGGGGCAGGGCATTATGTGGAGCCTTTTCGCTAGAGCTCCTCAGCGGGACCCGCCTGGTCGGGTCATCTGCAATGTTCAGATGTGTAGGCGCGAAGGCGAAGGCAGGGTAAAGGTCGAAACCGAGTTGGTGCCTATAGATCCCAGCTCGAGCGTGTTGATATGGGAGTGCCCCCTCCAAGGCACAACCCTGTCAACTCGCCACTGAGCGATCATCAGCACATCGTTGGTGACAATACCCTCGGGGCCAGGGGGCTCGGGTCCTTCACTCCGCAAAAGGAGAGCATCACGAAACACATCGCAAATCTCAGAAGAGAGGTCAGCAGGTAGGGGATCAGACGATGGGCCGCTTCCTTCGTAATGCGGGTGACCACCCTGGCATCGACGGCAAAGCCTAGAGGCTCGCAGGTGGCTCGAAAGGAAAATCCACGAGCACCGTGAAGAGGAGCCGAACTGGCAAAGGTTGAGATGGCCGACCTCAACACCACTGATCTGCTGAGCAGCTCTCCAGGAAGGAAGCGAGGAGAGAGGCAGGCCTCTTGGAGGCAGAAGCAGGCATTTAGCCAGAGCGTCCGGGCAACATCCTATAACATCCTGAGGAAGCTCGGCCGAGCAGCAAGCGCCAAGTCCAAGCGAGGCGTCAGTTGCGAAGACCCGGGCGCGGAAAGGTCTGAGGAGCAAAAGGGCACCAGAACGCTGGTAAGGGCAAGCTCTCCAGTGAGCTTCCGAGTTTGAGGGACAGGGGACTGCTGGCCCTCGAGGCTTGAAGCACAGGTTTCAGCGACTTGAAAAATCTCAGAGAAAAAATCACCATGGCACACCACACCGCCGAAACAAAGCAGTAGCAACCCAGGCCCCAAACAAGCGAGCACAGAAAGAGGAAGAGGTCACCGGAAGGGCTGCAGCACGAAGGCTAAGGGCAGCAAGCGGGATTCTCCG